TTTATAATTATTATGAAGAGAGTCATTGCGTATAATTCAAGCCTTTGAACAAAAACTATAGTCTACACTACAGCTCTACACCGAAACAAAGCGAGGGCGGGCCACTATAAGTTCATAAAAATGTTATAAGTTTGTATAATGCGATTCAAATACGAATAGGAAAGCCAATGAACTCTATCTGTCAAATGTCCCTTGAAAAGTACGGTTTGCAAAAAAAATCTAGGAACCCTTTTTTAGCACTTCAATTCATTCATTCATTAACAATTCAAGAATAAAAACCAAACATTTGTAAACAAACAATAACAAATATTGATAATTAATATCGGTTGATATTTTTTTTCACTTATTGAGCTTTGGCCATGAATGGTTGACCTAAATCGTCAACCAAATGTCACTAAGTTGCGTTCAGAAACTCGATTTCAAACTTTCGTTTACATAAAGGATGCATGTTTGTATGTGACTTAGTAATAGTGTATGATTATTCATAACTACTCCGGCGGTAATGGGGAGATGAGCGGAATAGAAGAGCTAGATTCTGATTAATGTTTTTCTCCCTGTCTTAATAAATAAATATTATTAAAAATCTGCTTTTTTTCTCAATCTTAGTAAATAAATGTTATTAAAATAAAAACTTTGTTTTTGCTCACTCTACCTATTTGGTTTGAATTGAAAACTATGACATCACAATATGGCGCCCAGTCGGTCCTATTCTTAGTTGAATGGCATTATAAGTTCGCTAGGATGTTGACACGTTGCAATTTCGATGTAGTATTGTCCGAACCTTACCTCAAAAGTACGGCATTGATAAGCGGCGGTTCTTTCTAAGGGCGCTTTCTATTTATGCGTTTCTTGACGGCCTGCTGCGGTGCCGAAGCGGTGCGTTTGTCGTACAGCGTACGGACGATCCTTTTTTTTTCATACATAACGCGCGGTGCGGCTACAGTGCGGCGCCGGTACCGCGAACGCTCGACAACTGGACTGTACGACAAACGCACCGCTTCGGCACCGCAGCAGGCCGTCAAGAAAGGTAAATTGAAAGCGCCCTAAAGGGTTTTTAAAACGATTACTTCCTTCTATCCGAAATTATAATAAACTGAGCATATGATCGTTAGATACCAAGCCGACTCTGTTGTGTTGCTTGTGCGTTAAAAACCTCTCGTCACTTTGTCTCAAAAGTGTCAAGTCCGTGTACAAAACAAATTCTTTAATTTTAAGTAAATGTTAATAAATAAATAATAATAAATATTTCCAACACACACACCAATTAGCCTAGCCCCAAAGTAAGCACTGTAAGGCTTGTGTTATGGGATGCTAGCATCCAACGGTAGTAACGGATAGTAACCAATCCATCCATCCAATAGTAACGTATACATATACTGTACATACATAGGTATATTTATATAGAAATACATATTAAACATCAATGACTGGAGTACAAATGCTCGTATTCATCACACAAACATCTGCCCCCACCGGGATTCGAACCTGGGACCTCTCAAGTCGGTGACACCATGAAACCCGGCGTAAAAACCACTCGGCCACGGAGGTCGTCATTCAGCCAACAATATTATCAAATGTGATTTCTCATTAAAAATAAACAAAACAAATGCCGTTGTTTATTTACTCATAGTAAATGAAGGGGAATTGCCTGATGTTTCGTTTTCGAACAATTAAAAAAGGTACTTAACTAACAATGCCCTTTATTAAAGTAGTTAATAGGTTAATAAAGATCTAATTAGAGAAAAGATTAGCATTAACATATCCAAAATTAATAAATATTGGAAGTCCAAAATAGTTCTGGTCATAAAGGGGTACTGTTTGTTTTCGAATCAAGGGGCATATATAGGTAAAAGCTTGCTTTTAAAAAGTTTTTTTTCTTTTAAAAATATTGAATTCAATATTCAGTATTTAGTATCCCATCCTTCGTGCATTAAAAGTGATCTATCGTTATTAGTCCAGTCATTACGTACATTCAAAAAAGAAAATGAATTTGCGCTTCTAATTTTTTAATATGTTGTACGGGATACCTAGAAAAGCTTAACTTGAGATTGTCGACCAAGCTTTCCTAGGAGCTTTCGCCGCCATGTTGAAAAAAGGGGTAAAATTTGTTTCTCGGCAATAACTCGGCTATCCGATGAGATTTCGAAAATTTTTGTAGGACACTTTTTGTAGCTTTCTTTGTGCTCTACAATAACGCCTCAATCATTTTTAGCGTATCATGCATCGTTATCGAGATATCGATCGATAAAGTCAAAAATTTAGGACACAATTTTTGTTTTTTGCTTTTTTTGAAGTTATACTTCTTTAGGCGCGTTATGAAAAAATGATGAGAGTGAAATTTTAAGATGCGCGCGCATCACTGTAACACAAAATTTTAACAGCATGAAGTTGGTCGCTTTAGCGACCAACTTCATGCGCTACTTTTGTGTTTACCGCACATTAAGAAAATCTACCATAAAAATAGAAATAGAATCTCTATTTAGTGGGTGCTAACGACTGCATTGTGAAGGCCTATCAAAAGTATTTATTAATCTGGAACAACGGAACCAAAGCGCGATTCAGGAGACTACAGCGCCATCTCTTGACCATTGGTGTAGTAGAACCAAAAACCACATCTTTATTTTTTGTAATAAAGTAACAGTTATAGGTATTCATATTTATAATATTTATCCACATGTTTCTAGTTTGTATATTCGGAATACGTGTTTGAGTTTCATACAAGTGCAAATCACATATGTTCTAATAAATTATATTCAGTAGCGATTTTAATTGAATATTTTGATTATTTATTTATTTTTTCAAATTAAAACTGAACTTTATTGACTGTGTCCTTTTCCAGACTTTTTATTAATTTATTGTAATTAATTATTTGCATGCAATTAAAAACTAATTTTAAACGATGCCAAAGAAGGATAACTTCTCACGCGCCTACATAAGTACACGCACCCATTTTTTTCTTTTGGTCTTAATAAATATGAAAAATTGTGGAATTCAAACTTGTAGAGCATATTCAGACCTACAATTTCCTTCTTGGATTTTTTTATGTTGGACAAAAATTGCGCCGCAAAGTCGGTGAATCCACACTCAGCGTCGAGCGAGCTGCTCGCTCGGTTGTGTCTGATGTCGAATCGAATGGGAAATTGTTCAGGAAATTGATGGGATAAAAAATAAGTACATAGAGCAACAAATTAAGGATCACACAGTAGTAATTTATTAAACAAATAATTTGTTTGTGCAGTAAAAAAAAATATTTTTTTACAATACAAAATAAACAAAACAAAATAAACGGAAAGAAAAATATTTTTTTCTGCACTCGAGACACGAACGATGGACTTTTTTTATGTCTTTTTTCGCTTGGATGGTCCAGGCTGAAGATCTTCGTCCTCCGTAAACTCTTCGAGTTGTTGTGTCTGTTGAACCGTTGGAAATAATGCTGATCGATGAGAGCATCGTCATCATCATCGTTACAGACATCGTCGTCGTCGTCGTCAAGCAAAATGTCGACTCTGGCGACGTTACTGCATGTTTGCCCACTGCAGTGCATGCAAATAACGGAGCAACTGATTCCCGCTTTTCTGCACCCACAGGCGGCCTCACAATTTCCTTTACACTTACAGGAAATGAGCTTTAATAGTTCAGGCGGAGCGGGTTCGGCGGTGCTGGTGATTGGTTCGAGCCCTCGATTGGTCTGTCGCCAACCCCATCTTTGTGGATCCTTGAAAAATCCGAGCCAGGTTTGAACTTGGAGATACGTCCGGAAAATGTGTTGACGCACAGCGCTTTTGGTTGGCGGGAGTAGTGAGAGGTGATTCACTTTATTCGCTGTCATTGATTTTGCGAAGCGATGGAATCGCAAAATATTTATAGACTTCTCGTGCTTATCACCACCATATAGGGCGATAAGGAATTGCTTTGTGACATTACCCAGAGTCGACATTTTGCTTGACGACGACGACGATGTCTGTAACGATGATGATGACGATGCTCTCATCGAATCAGCATCATTTCCAACGGTTCAACAGACACAACAACTCGAAGAGTTTACGGAGGACGAAGATCTTCAGCCTGGACCATCCAAGCGAAAAAAGACATAAAAAAAGTCCATCGTTCGTGTCTCGAGTGCAGAAAAAAATATTTTTCTTTCCGTTTATTTTGTTTTGTTTATTTTGTATTGTAAAAAAGTATTTTTTTTACTGCACAAACAAATTATTTATTTAATAAATTACTACTGTGTGATCCTTAATTTGTTGCTCTATGTACTTATTTTTTATCCCATCAATTTCCTGAACAATTGCCCATTCGATTCGACATCCAGACACAACCGAGCGAGCAGCTCGCTCGACGCTGAGTGTGGATTCACCGACTTTGCGGCGCGCTGGAGATCGTAATTTTTGTCCACCATAAAAAAATCCAAGAAGGAAATTGTAGGTCTGAATATGCTCTACAAGTTTGAATTCCACAATTTTTCATATTTATTAAGACCCAAAGAAAAAAAAAGCAAAAAACAAAAATTGTGTCCTAAATTTTTGACTTTATCGAACGATATCTCGATAACGATGCATGATACGCTAAAAATGGTTCGGGCGTTATTGTAGAGCACAAAGAAAGCTACAAAAAGTGTCCTACAAAAATTTTCGAATCTCATCGGATAGTCGAGTTATTGCCGAAAAACAAATTTTAAGCGTTTTCCAAGATGGCGGCGAAAGCTCCTAGGAAAGCTTGGTCGACAATCTCAAGTTAAGCTTTTCTAGGTATCCCCTACAACATATTAAAAAATTAGAAGCGCAAATTCATTTTCTTTTATTTGCCTTTTTTTCGGACGAAATGACTGGATTATACATAAAATGAACTATAGCTAAGTGTATATTTATATGATTAATCGTTTGTATTGATTGTATTTTTATTAACCTGTGAATACCGTGTATGTGTCTACTAATTAGCAAGCTTTTATTAAATAAAAAAAAATCGTTTGCATACTTCATGCTTTTGTTCTTCCGCAGGCTATGGCCGAGGAGTTATCGAAGGAGCGCGCGGCTCGGGAGGCCCTAAAAGAAGTGGTGTCTGCTGCGGAGAGCATGCTGCGAGTGGCGCGCGCCCGCATGGCCACCCTGGAGCGGCAGCTCAAGGACACGCGCGCCGAGCTCGACGCCGCGCGCCGCAAGCACAAAGACCTCGAGCAACTCGTAAACAGACTCGCACATGAACATTCGCATAACACAGTGAAGTCGTAGTTGTGACACTAATTCGAGGCCCAGTAGTTGTGACTTGATCCATGTCTTGTCATGTCTAGTCTTTTCAAAAGCCAGTCTTATATATATAAATATACTTGACAAGAAAAGTGGCACTATATACGTTTTTCTTACAAATTTCTCATTAATTTAATATGTTACTCTTACTTTACAGTATCGGCACCGGGAAACCAGCTACGATGCGCGTTCGAAGAAACTACTAGAAGTTTCTAAAACCGGAGAAATGACCATTGAGGCATTATCTCGCCAACGTGACGCTCTAGAGCTGAGGTAAGCATCTTCTCATTTTATATTAGTTTTGTAGATATTAATTACAACACTACTGACTATTAAAGGGTAAAGGAACTACGCGAGCAAACTGAGATGGCGGAACGAGCAGCCGAGGCCCGCGAGGCGGAGCAAAGAGCCCGCGCAGATTCGCTGCAAGCAAAAGTAGTGGACCAGGTGCCTTGAACTTATTACTTTATATCTTCGGATTAACCTTCTCTGTAAATTGAAGTAATGATATATTAAAGATGCTCTCATCACAGGAAAAGAGCAGACTTGCAGCGGAAAGTCGTGCGGCGGAGTTGGATGTTCGTGTCAAAGAACTAGAGGAACAGCTGCATGCATTGCGAGAACGTTCTGTGAGACTTGTTGATATGGAACGTAGACGATGTCTGGAATACGTCCCATCAAAAGGTAAAGTAATCATTGATAATATAAAGGGAGTCAAGAAACAAGAGAATAACAATAAATAAACAGTCAGGTCATAAGTATTGTCACACAGTAAAAACTTTTCTTTTGGAATGCTTACCGCAAAAAAGTTTATTCAATTCGAATTTCGAATTGTTCATGAAAATAAAAATGTATACTTTTTAGAATTTTCCTCATTTTTAAATATATAGTGGACGCTTAAAGAAGACCGTGTTGCAGTTCTTGCGTTGCATCGTTGCGGTTACGCGCCAATTCAAATTTTTGACATACTGAAAATTTTGAATATAACCAAAAGATTCGTTTATCGTACCATCAAACGATACAATGAAGACTCTAGTGTAGATGACAGGTCAAGAAGTGGTCGCCCTCGGTCTGTTAAGGACTCCAGCAGTGATAAAAGCTGTGAAGGCGCGAATTCAAAGAAATCCCAAACGTAAGCAGAAACTGTTGGCCCTTCAGATGGGGTTAAGCAGAACCACGGTGAAAAGGGTGTTAAATGAAGACTTAGGGCTTCGGGCATATCGAAGAAAAACATGACATCATTTGAATGCTCGTCTAATGAACCTGAGACTGAAGAGATGCCGCGCTTTGTTGAAGCGGTAACGGGAAAAAAATATCGGGAAATACTTTTTTCGGATGAAATAACTTTTACCGTAGAAGAGAGCTACAATAAACAAAATGATAAGGCGTAAGCACACAGTATTGAAGAAGCGAGCAACCGTATTCCGCGTGTCCAACGAGGTCATTTTCCATCCTCGCTCATGGTATGGTTGGGAGATTCTTATTGGGGCTTAACAGAGGTACATTTTTGTGAGAAAGGTCTAAAAACGAATGCAGTTGTGTATCAAAATACAGTCCTGACGAACCTTGTGGAACCGGTTTCTCATACCATGTTCAATAACAGGCACTGGGTATTCCAACAAGATTCGGCGCCAGCTCATAGAGCGAAGAGCACACAAGACTGGCTGGCGGCGCGTGAAATCGACTTCATCCGGCACGAATACTGGCCCTCCTCTAGTCCAGATTTGAGTCCGTTAGATTACAAGATATGGCAACACTTGGAAGAAAAGGCGTGCTCAAAGCCTCATCCCTATTTGGAGTCACTCAAGACATTCTTGATTAATGCAGCCGCCGATATTGACATGGACTTCGTTCGTGCTGCGATAGACGACTGGCCGCGCAGATTGAAGGCCTGTATTCAAAATCACGGAGGTCATTTTGAATAAACTTTATTGTCATAAGAATCTATGTTTTGTTAAGTTCATTTTAGTATATAAATGGTTACATAATGAATAAACTTGTTTCAAAAAAATTATATTAAACATGTGACAAAATTTATGACCTGACTAGGTATAATAAATATTTCCAACACTGACACCAATTAGCCTAGCCCCAAAGTAAGCACTATAAGGCTTGTATTATGGGATACTTGGGTAACGGATAGAATACGTATACTGTACATATATAAGTATATTTTTATAGTAATACATATTATACATCCATGCCTGGAGTACAAATGCTCGTATTCAACACACAAACATCTGCCCCGAACGGGATTTGAACCCTCTTGATTCGGCGACACCATGTAACCCAGCGTACAAAGCACTCAACCACGGAGGTCGTCAATTAATAAAATTTCACCGCGTTTTTTCATTCAGAAAATGAACCGACAGACAGGGAAACTGAAATCTGGAAAGAGTTACAAGTCACCAGGGTAGCTTTAACTCGAGCAGAAGAGGAACTGCGTCAAAGTCGAGCTGATAAAGACAAATTTTTGAATTCTCTTTCTAAAATTGCTGTAAGATACCTACATTTTATTTTACCAAAAAATTTAGTTTTTTAAAATTTATACTTAATAATTTTATTGATTTTAGCAAGGTGAAGGCAGCGAAAACTGTCAAGATAAAATGGCTACAGAATTATTAGATAGAGAACAGAAAATAGTAAAATTACAACATTTCATCGATGAGCATCGTGAAAACGAAAAATTAATGTAAGATTCAAATAACTATCTAATGACAAATATTCTTAAAAATATTAATTTTATCTCATTTTATATTACTCCAGGGAGCAAACTATGACCCAGTATGAGAATCAGCTTGCTGCACTGCGACTAGAAATAAAACGGCTGCGCAATTATGATTGCTATGCAAAAGAGATTCCGTATCAAGAGTTACAGACTGAGGTAATTTTTGGGGATACATGTACGTACAGATTAAGTCTGTCCGCAAATAGTTATGAACCAGTTAAATATAGCTTTCTCGCAAACTTAGGTTATTTTAATAAGGGAATTAATTTATTTGCATTCATCGGCAGTTGATGGAGATGCATATGCAAGTTGAGACATTGTCTCGCGAACGTGCTGCCCTGGTAACAGCGGCTGCGTCGCGGGCCTTAATGCTTGAAAGACACGAGCGTTCTGCCGAGTTGTTTGCTAAGATGACTCGAGCGCGAAGAGATTTAGCAGCAATGCTCGATGGGCGTACTGAACCACCAGGAATAGATGAAGCATCACATGCAGAGGTTAGACAAAAATAATGAATTTGGGAACCCTTAAAGCAACTGAAATTATTGTTCATCGTTAGCTGTCTCAAAGCTTCAGACGATTGTAAATCATACAAATTTAGTTTATTCTACTCTTTTAGGACCCAATAGGATAAAATTAATAAAAACTTGTTGCGTGAGCGTAGTAGTACCTACTCAATGCGTACTCTTATACTATAACAAGCCAATAGTTGATAGAAGGATGCTGCAATAACTTAATTCACAACGCATGTACAATATACCTACAATAGCGACCTTTGGTTGAACTGCGTAGTGTATATATTTTTTTTGTTTTTTTAAGCGGTTATCCCCAATTTGTATCAGGTCTTTTTTATCTTTGTTGTTTTGTTTCTAACTTTTAGTATATTTTTATTTATCATGCCTGCTCTTTTGCATGTTTTCAGTGCTTATTCTTTTGCACATCTTTCTTTTCTTTTTTTGATACTTTACAATATATGCTTACTTACTATTACATTTTTTGCTTTTATTTTGTATATACAATTTTGTACTTATTTCTATTTATCTACACACACTTATTTTTATTTACATAATTCATACAATTTATACATTATTTACTTTATTTTAGCCTATTTGGCTCTTGGGCTTACATTTAGTATTTACAATGTTTTGCTATCAATAGTTGCATTTCTATGCTAATTGTCCTTATTCGTTTCTATTACCCTTTTCACTATGCTTTTGCTAAACCTAATAAATATATCTCTATCTTTTTTATTTCTCACAATTTCCTTTAGGTTATCCTTACTAAGTTGTGTGTCTAGTGTTGTTTGTGCGTCGTGTCTTTCTCTGTTGTGTATGGGGCATTCTAGGACGACATGGAAAATTTCCTTTTCGGTCCTTCCTTTTAAACCTATGGAGGTAGGCGGAGAAACCTCCGTGCCCGGTAAAGATTTGTGCAGCTATTCTATCAATCTATTCTATTAATCTTTCTCACGACACCGAAGGCACTCTCCCCGCAGGGGAAGAATGCCTTCGTTGTAGCCGCCGTGTCTTCGCTCCTGTACCTGCTGTCCCATTTAGCTTTCATCATAGCGCGTAAATGTCGCTTGACGAAAGAGATGGGATAGCAGTCATAGTGCGATTTGCACTTCAACCCGAGGGCCGCCCCCTTCGCCAACTGATCCGCTCTCTCGTTTCCGATCACCCCGACGAGGGCCCTGATCCAAAACAGGGACACGGTTTGTCCATTGTCCCTGAGTTGAGCCAGGTTACCCTGAATCGCCTTGGTGATCGGATGCGAGGAGTTTGGATCAGTTAGCGACTGGAGAGAGGACCTCGAGTCGCTGAGCACGGCGGCTTCCTTCCATCCCTTCCCTAATACGCATTCCGTGGCTTGGAGAATAGCATACAGCTCGGCTTAGAAGACTGTACAGTATGGCTCCAGCTTAAAATTTCGGGAGAGGACTTCTGCCTGCCCTTTCCAACAGGTCAGGGCGGCTCCTACCTTTCCCTCCAGTTTGCTGCCATCCGTATAGATCTTCACAAGACCTTCTGCCAGTTTGCTATCCTCCTCCTCGTTTTCCAAGCATTCAAATCCTATCATTCTGCTACCGGGATGGTCCGATTCTATGAAGGACACCCTTTTCTCCACCTCTCTCCCCCTTAATATTTCCTGGGGTTTCCCTCGCTTCGCCTCAGATGATGAAGAATGATGAAGCTGGGATGCTTCTTGGACCCTAAGGTCCAGCGGAAGCAGCCCCGACAATATTAAGGCGGAGTTAAGAGACACCGTCTTATAGCACTTGGCTATTTTCTGCGCGAACCCCCTTTGCACAACTGAGAATTTTTACTTAGACATTATTTTGTCAGCTTCCTTTTGTCAGACACTCGCGGCGTAAAGGATGATCGGTTCTATTACTTAGTGGATTTAACGAGGAGGTGCTAGCCACTATCCGCGGTTTTTCAAATTTAGTTAGATCTACACTTTGCCTCCTACGTTCTGTAATCGGGTCGCTGCTTCTATACATTTTGGACGTATACAAAATAATTTAACACACAATTAAATTTCAATAAATGTGTCAATAGACGGAAAATAAAATAAAATAGAATAAATAATAATTAAAATAATAATATTAATGAGTCAAAAGACAATTTAATAAATAAAATAAAATAATATTACAATTGAATTGAATCTGAATTGAATGAGTCAAAAGACGAAGACGAAGAATTAATAAATTAAATTAAATAAAACAATGGGTCAAAAGACAAAATTAAATAATAAATAAAACTAAATTAAAATGAAATTAAAATTATAAATGGGTCAAAAGACGAAAATTAAAATAAATTAAAATAAAAACAATGGGTCAAAAGACAAAATTCAAATTCAATTACTGTAAAAATTACTAAAACAGAAGACACTATCCAAAGAATGAGTCAAAAGACAGATTATTCACTAATGCTAATTAAGTTTTTTTGTTTTTGTGCAGTGTACTGTTTGAGTTGTGAATATCTGTCCTTATGTGTGTGTAATGTATGTTCTTAGTAGGACCTTGGGGATACCTAGTCATTATTAAAACCGCAATAATGCGAATAAATTGTCGATTTCTATAAACTAAGCTTGTCCTCAAAACAGGTACAGGTTATTAAAATCACAGTCAAAAATTTAAAATAAATCAAAACACACAAATAATAAAATTACTAATACCTAAAATTAAACCTGCCCTTAAAAGAGGTGCAGGGTGTCAATATCACAGTCAAAAATTATAGAGTTAAAACACGCGTAGTGTATATTTGGCCAATCATAGTGTATGCCTGATGGAACTGCGTCAACCTAAACCTCATTTTTTGTAAGTTCTGCAGCTATTCTACGGCCGGCTAGTGGCGTAACGTTAGGCTTTCTATTTGGATTTGTCAACCGAGTTTTTTTGTACACATTCATTATGGTTTCATGCTTCTCTTGAACTAATTGATATTCCACGTTGTTTAGATCTCAAGATCACTGTCATCGGTGTGCGCTAACGCAGCGGACACATGGAGCGCGTTGCGGGCCGAACGCGCGCGGGTTCTACGCCTCGAGAGCGCAGTGCTGGCGCAGAGCTTACAACTGGAGCGCGAGGGGCGCGTGCGCACGCAGCTGGAACGCCGGCGCGCCCTGCTCGAGAGGGAAGTGTTGCGGGTGCGCTCTTCCGACCACGCCACTCTCGGCAACAATCCAAGTTTGGTATTTTATAACTAGTATTTTTACTCTTTCGCGGGTTTGACGCTGAAGTAGCTCTGCGCAAAATGATACCCAATAATTATGGCTGTTTCCTCGTGGTCGATTTTTCCTACTGCGGTATAATGACATCAGATTTTCCTAGATGATTTTTGAACATAATCATAGTTATTGGTCTATTGTTATTTTAATGATTGTCACATGTCATCTACAGAATTCTTTTACTAGTAAATTTTTTCTTTATACTGTTTATTTCGTTTTATATCTATCATAATTCAAACTTGACATAAAAGGTCATGAAAATTAATCATCAATAATTTCGTGCATTGTCCGTGGTATAGTTTGAATAGTCCGGTTGACTAGACCATTGTTTTTTTAGTAGTACAGTTAACCGGACTATGGTAAAATAAATACCTTCCTGGTACAGTTAACTGTACCATGGAATAAATACATTTTCGAATGTCCTGATACTATAACTATACTATAACTGAAACACGGAATAAATATGTTTTCTTCTGTATCACCGAAAAAAATATACAATGTAATTTTAAAAGTGCACAAATTATTTGAACCCCTTTTCATCCTCCAATCCCCTTTTCACTCTCCAATCCCCTTTATCTCCTGTGCTCAAAGAAGGAGGATGTATTTTGAAATACATCCTTAAAAAAAATATGGTGCTGATGTGCGCAACTTACTCTGTTTACTCAATGTCAATGTGAAATAACTTATCTCTTTTCAACCAATGAAAAGAAATGAATCGGGCCATGAGAAAATTGCACAATAGGGTATTTGACAGTGTTAAAAATAAAGTGCCAATTGTTAGTATCTGTGTTAAGAATAAATATTGGGTGGTTTTTTGCTACTTTTACAAAGAAAACATTCATAATTTCACAAAAAACTAACGAAAAAGATAATAGTTTTCTTATTTATTGTCACGTGACCCAAAACGCTTGGGATTGGCGGAGCCTAAAATGACGTCACACGCAAGTAAACTTCCGGGTAAAGTGACATTACATTGTATCGTTTGGCGTTTTATTAACAGTCGTGTTACGTCACACACTAGTAAGACGCCATATTGTCCAGAGAAACGTTTTCGCGGCAACTTGAAAATGGAGTTTTTGATTTGGTTATTTTTACTGAAATACACAACAGAATGATGAATATCCACTTTTTACGGACTCCATAAACATTAGTCAATAACGTGAGATCGTTTTCTAAAACTTGTCAAATACCATATTGGGCCCCGGATCGGTCATGGTGCGGTTTGTTTTTTCTAAAAGAATTGTTAATTCAAGCAATATTTAGAGGGACTAACGATATTTTCTTTTCTACAGTTGCATAAACCTTATATTTTGTGTAATTTCAGATTTCGGGCATTTTTCGGTATGAGCAGAAAGAGATGAGGCACGCATTTTACGACAGTTACATCACAACATATATATTTGAGTCAACTGTTTTGTCTTTGAATGAACACGTAAAAGTTTTGATAGTATTACCTGTTGTTTTATTAACTCGCTAGCTATGCGGCGTACTTCGTACCGCTTACAATAATTTGGAAGTGCACTTTAGATCTAATAAAAAAAGAGGTTCGAAAATAACTAATGATATCTAGGCACGGCAGTGCCCACCGATAAGTCGAGCGCGAAGCAAACACTGCCGTACCATCCTTTACTGGAACCATAACGCCGCATTTTCAGGCCCCTATTTGATAACCTCTGGATAGGACCAGAACGCTGTAATTTTCGTCATCCAGTAAGCTATAATAACATACTTAAAATCCAAAATTTCAAGTCTGTAGGTCATTTAGTTCCGAAGTTAAGCGAAAGCAAAGTTTCGCATTTACGACACTCACTCACTCATGATCATCAGAATAGAACTATTACTTCCCATAAACTGAAATTGAGAGCTGAAATTTGGTACAGAGTTAGGATTTAATGACCACATAAAGGGAAAACTATAAAACTAGAATAATCGAAGATCTGGAGTACCTGGTGACCCTGATTAGAAAACAACAGCCCACCCAAACTATTAGAAGAGATCGACATACCGCCTTTACAAAAAATATTCAACTTGGTGGGCCGCGTCATTTGATGTAAAAATCGAAGGTCTGAAGTATCTGATGAAGAACCCTCAGCTGGTCTCAGCTGTATTAGAGGTATGGTAATGGCCCCTTCTACTATTGGTACACAAAAAAATCGACTGTCATTGCAAAAATCCAGCATAGTGGGACACGTCTTTTTATTTAATCTAGCCTATAGCGTCCCACTCCTGGGTGAATGCCTCCCCTTCTACTTTTAATGCGCATATAAATAAAATTAAAGGAAAACTCTGGATAACACTAGACTGGCTATTATACTTATACTTACGAGTTTACAAGAAAAAATAGTCGAACGATTAACTTTATTCTACTCGAACATTACACAAATTAAATGAACAAATTACACTAAAATATTAATTTCATTCAAAATTTGGTCAAAATATAATGCATTCGACTAAGAGTGGCGGTGATACTAAGGTCTAAGTCTAAAAAATACCCTCATGGACATTGCCACCTCCATATTCTCTTTGGCCAAGCCTACGTGGCGCTTGCACGCACGAGTAACCAATCTTCATGGGGTGCAAATGTTGACTTTAAGAGTATAAAAGCTCAAGCTTCAGTCAGCTATCACCGAATACAACCGGCTTAGGCGTAAATACCGCGCCGATTTTTCAGAAATTAAACCGTCTAAAAGAATAAATAAAGAACGCGAATGGGCAATTCGAAAAACTGTTGCTAATGTTCAAGAATCAGAACCGGAAAAAAAGAAAAGAATGATTAGTAATAATAAAAAGACTACTCCTAAAAAGAAAAAAAAAGTGTCAAATAAGAAAATGTAATAAAATAAATCAATATGCCCACGTTTCTATAAAAATAAGTGAAATCCCACCAAAAACATTCTGTAAAAAACTATCCAAGTCTCGATGGAGCTGCTTGTTTATCTCTAAAAAGTAATTAAATCTAGATAAAGTCGTGCCAATTCTAAGGTTCCTTACTGCGATTTCTTTATTATTATAGTTAATGTTGTATGACTTGGCCGTTGAAGGGTACACAAGGGTACAAAACCAGGTGCTACATGACACCATTGCACCGATGCATTCATACATGCAACATTACGTATAAACGCGACATCATCAAGCCTACAATTGACTGGTTATTCAATCAACGTTTTCCAAGTGGCAATTTTCCATCGTCAATGGGTAGCGGTTCTGGCGACAGATTGGTGCAATGGTTCAACGGCCAAGTCACACAACATTAACTATAATAAAAAAGAAATCGCAGTAAGGAACCTTAGACTTGGCACGACTTTGTCTAGATTTAATTACATGTTAGTTCCGTTTTTCGTCACGCCCATTCTTTTTACGTACAGACTCAACATAAACAACATATTTTAACATAGTTGTTCTGTATAATTCATTGTTTTCCCCATAACCCACCTATTGTGGGTTCACAATAACCATTTTTTCCTTTACTTTTTACGAGAAATAATGGTTTATTTACGAATATTACATCTCCAATTTAATACATTGTGCATGTAATATTAGACCAGGGTCGATAATTTTAAAAATGGTGAAAAGTGAAAAAAAAATATAGTAGGATGAAACCCATTAAAAAAGATAGAGAATATAACAAAAATGAAAGGAAAAATAAATTACGGGCGATCTGAGGTCGGGAAGGGGGAGGGGGTGAGTTTTTAAGGGTAAAAAATGGTTAATCTCGATTTCCGGTAAAACTGCAAGTCCTATGAAAAAAAGTTAAATGGCAAAGTTGTAGATAATAAAAAGATCTACAACTTTTGTATCAACACTTTTTTCACATAACCTCAAAATTTATGTGAAAAATGCGAATAACCGAGTTCTTGGTTTTTGATTTTTATTTTTTGCAAAAAAAAATATTTTTTCACGAAATTTGGTGAAAACTTACCTTTGTATGTCCCAAACAGACAGTAATTTTTTTGATATAAAATATTCATTTTTTTCACCTTATTTTGACTTAATATCGAAAAAGCACCCTTATTTTCAATCAAAAATTCTCACGTCAAAATATCTGCTTTTTTTAAAAAGTTGGGGTGTTTTTTGTTTGTTGAAATATCTACTTTCTGATGGTATAAAAAAAATATACACTACTATGATAAATGTTCTCAAAAAATGCAAATTAATAATGAAAACAACTCGAATCCGAAAATCCTATTTTTAATACCTACTTACAACAACTATTTTTGCATGTTTTATGGATTTGTAATTTTTCTGTTTATCAATATAAAATGAAATCTTACGTTTTTCGAGTAATTAAAGTGTAAATTTTAATAAATAGTTCAAAATTATACATAATGATTCAAATCAATTTTTCGGGTTGGAGTTTTTTTCATTATTAATTTGTAGTTTCTGAGAACATTTACCATAGTAGTGTATATTTTTTTTTATACCATCAGAAAGTAGAGATTTCAACAAACAAAAAACACCCCAACTTTTTTAAAAAAGCAGATATTTTGACGTGAGAATTTTCGATTGAAAATAAGGGTGCTTTTTCGATATTAAGTCAAAATAAGGTGAAAAAATGAATATTTTACATCAAAAAAATTACTGTATGTTTTGGACATACAAAGGTAAGTTTTCACCAAATTTCGTGAAAAAATATTTTTTTTGCAAAAAATAAAAATCAAAAACCAAAAACTCGGTTATTCGCATTTTTCACATAAATTTTGAGGTTATGTGAAAAAAGTGTCGATGCAAAAGTTGTAGATCTTTTTATTACCTACAACTTTGCCATTTAACTTTTTTTCATAGGACTTGCAGTTTTACCGGAAATCGAGATTAACCATTTTTTACCCTTAAAAACTCACCCCCTCCCCCTTTCCAACCTCAGATCGCCCGTAATTTATTTTTCCTTTCATTTTTGTTATATTCTCTACCTTTTCTAATGGGTTTCATCCTACTATAATTTTTTTTGGTCTCAAAAATTATCGACCCTGGTCTATGTAGATCAATATGGTCCATTACAGTATGTAATTTAAATGAATATTTTGGAAGATATTAAAGAATAAAAATGTAGAGACATAGCGGTGTCGGCCTGGTGCCCGGGTCGGCGCGGCTTTATAAATAAATCAAAAGTAAAGGATATAGGCTACTTTTTATACTGGGGAAAATCATATCCCTACGGGATAACGTCGTTTAGTCCACGCCGGCAAAGCCGCGAGCGAAAGGCTAGTTAAAATTATTTATCCTTTTTCCTCATGAAGTAACAATTATTGTGGTATATAAATAAACTAGCTGAGCCCCACGGTGTCACCCGCGGTTTGTCTGGGATATTTCCCGCAGTAAAACGTAGCCTACGTGTTAATCCAGGGTGTCAGCTGATTACATACCAAATTTTATTAAAATTGCTCCAGCCGTTTAGACGTGAAGAAGTAACAAACATACACACAAACTTTCTCCTTTATAATATTAGTGTGATAATATAATAAAGCTTTTTATTTCCATACTTTAGTTTACAGTTAAAAAAATGTAAGTAAATATATTAAATTAACGGTATGCAACTGCATGTGAATAAGTGCTTTTATATGAAATTTACTAGAAAACAACTTACTATACAATCTAGCTATTATATTAATAACACATTAATACAAGAAGTTGAAAAAGATTTAGTTGTGATTTATGATAAAAAGTTAACTTTTGTTGCTCATTTACAAAACGTTATCTTTAGAGCGTCTCGCATGCTTGGATTTATTATGAGAGTAGGCGGGGAATTTTGCAGGCTGCAGACAAGAAGGCTGCTGTACAATTCATTTGTCTTAAGCATTATGGAATACTGTAGTCTTGTATGGAGACCACACTATGCATGCCACTCTCTGGCATTGTCCTAATACAACGCGATAACGCGATCATCGCGCGATTAAACGATGCGTCCTAATAGAACGCGAATACGGAACGGGTTAGCCCTGCCCCTCTCCCCGCTTCCTATCGACGCGACGCGATCATCGCGCGAACTTCAGTTAGGACACCTATTCATCGTTAATAGGTTTGTTTGCGCGTTCGCGTGAACTAAGTTCGCGCGAATAGATTTTTAAACATTTTAGTCGCGCGAATGCATCGCGCGATCGCCTATTAGGACACCTATTCTAGATCAATATGTTTGATCGTCGAATCGTACGATGATCGCATCGCTCATTCGTGTTATCGCGTTGTATGAGGACAATGCCTCTGAGGTTGTAACGCATTCAGAAGAGATATCTTTGGCATTTAGCTTACTTAAGTAACAAATGTAGGAAAGGATTTTCATACAAAGATACATTAAAACATTTTAATTACCTCTACTTCATTAGAAAACTGTAGGATTATACTTGATCTTATATATTTGTATAAATTATTTAACAATAAAATAGATTGTCCTGGCCGTTTTATTTACTTTAGATTTAATGTACCCCGTAGATTACCCAGAACTCAAATAAAAACATTAGTTCCACCTCTTCGCACAACGGTATTGGGTTCAAGTTCGTTTGTCCCTAGAGTAAGTAGACTTCTAAATTCTTTGGATCAGTCTATTGATATTTATGCTGTTAGTCTCAATGCATTTCGTCAGCACTTGTAATTAACCACGTTGTAATATGTTGATATTATGTAGCTTTAGAAATTGGCAGAATTTTGTAAATGTCTTACTTCAACTTCTTGTATTAATGTGTTATTAATATAATAAAGTTGTTTTCTAGTAAATTTCATATAAAAGCACTTATTCACATGCAGTTGCATACCGTTAATTTAATATATTTACTTACATTTTTTTAACTGTAAACTAAAGTATGGAAATAAAAAGCTTTATTATATTATCACACTAATATTATAAAGGAGAAAGTTTGTGTGTATGTTTGTTACTTCTTCACGTCTAAACGGCTGGAGCAATTTTAATAAAATTTGGTATGTAATCAGCTGACACCCTGGATTAACACGTAGGCTACGTTTTACTGCGGGAAATATCCCAGACAAACCGCGGGTGACACCGTGGGGCTCAGCTAGTTTATTTATATACCACAATAATTGTTACTTCATGAGGAAAAAGGATAAATAATTTTAATTAGCCTTTCGCTCGCGGCTTTGCCGGCGTGGACTAAACGACGTTATCCCGTAGGGATATGATTTTCCCCAGTATAAAAAGTAGCCTATATCCTTTCTGTTTGATTTATTTATAAAGCCGCGCCGTCCCGGGCACCAGGCCGGCACCGCTATGTCTCTACATTTTAAATCTGTAATATCTTCCAAAATATTCATTTAAATTACATACTGTAATGGACCATATTGATCTATATTACATGCATAAGGTATTAAATTGGAGATGTAATATTCGTAAATAAACCATTATTTCTCGTAAAAAGTAAAGGAAAAAATGGTTATTGTGGGTTATCCCTAAGAGATAGACATCGTGTTATGGGGAAAACAATGAATTATACAGAAAAAATATGTTTTTTATGTTGAGTCTGTGCGTAAAAAGAATGGGCGTGACGAAAAACGGAACTAACATGAGGATTTTTATTTGGAAATCAAACCCAGCAATCTGTGAAACGTCAAAGTTTTGTATTGATACGGATTTGCTTATTGTTGTGATTTCTTGCGGTTTTTGTATTTAATCATGTCTAAAAGGGGTAAAACCTTACAAACACGGTAGAAAAGCACCCTCCAATTTAAATCCCATTCTCTTTCCGCAAAGACTCTAGTAGTTATAACTCCGTACTTATTCATCCTAGAATGATCAAATTTTGTTTTATTAAAATAACTGGTTTTATTGTAATGGATTTTTTTGGAATTTCCGTATACCGCAAAACAGACAACTTTGAGATTTTCTCTAAAATGACTAGTAGACCTATCAAGTCGGGAGTTTTACTCTGGAGCTTTTTTGGATAAAGGTTATTCATTTTTTGAATAATAACGTGATGAAACAAAATGAGGGTTCTTTACTCACTGTGCATCGCGGACTTTTGTATAGACCTTTTAAGGTGTACAATACTGTAGTATTAACTATAACTTTTATTTAGAGTCCTGTTTAAAACAAAATTAAATAAATCCAATGGTGCCGCCACTGAGCGCGTCGAACCACTTAAATTTGTTTTGACCATGTTTAAGCACATGTAAGCTTTATATAACAGAAATTATAGAACAGTAGGACAATGGAAAAAAATACTCGTCGCTTAATGTTGGTGGAAACAGAGGTAATAGCCGGTACGTACATTGCTATTCAACTAAGAATAGGATCGACTTGGCGCCATATTGTGACGTCATAGCTTTCAATTCAAACCAGTTAGGTAGAATGAGCAAAAAAGTTTTTCTTTAATAAAACTTATTTACTTATTAAGTGTGAAAATATATCAGATTTTTATTAATATTTATTTATCAAGACTGAGTGAGAAAAAATCATTAATCGGAATCTAGCTCTTTAATTCCGCTCATCTCTGCACTAGCGTCTCGTCAGAGCAGTCATCACCATCGTCATTATCATTATTGCTGCTTTCGGCTATAAAATAAAATATCGATTTTTGTAGGTTTTAAAACGACAACTTTATTTAAAATAAGAACTCATTTTTTATTACCCTATTTATAATAAAACTAAAGTTCTTTATTTCCCTTTTCCAGTACTCATTTCTCACTTCACTTCTATACGTATCATATGGTTTATTTTCTCCTTTTGTTTACAAATATTTGGTATTTATTGTAAGATTAGCTTAGTCCTAAAAATATGTTACAAGTTTTTTTTGCAAACCGTACTTTTCAAGCGACATTTGACAGAAGAAGTTCATTGGCTTTCCTATTCTTATTTGAATCGCATAGTACACGCTTTCTGACGTATCGGAGTTGTATCGGTGACTTATTTTGTGGTTTTACTAGTAAGGTGGGAGAACGCTTAGCAGCTTAGAAAAAATTCCACGCGGACCAGGCAGCAGACTGCTGCCTCTGCTGCCTGGTCCTGGATTTTTCTCTAGTTATATTTTCTTTAGATATCTTATTTTTTCATCATTTTTTATATTTTTCGGATTTAAACATCAAGCAGTTACATGCTTTAAAAAATATAAACAAGACATCGTTGAAAAATAAGATTTTATAAAAAAAAATACTAAACAATAAACGTAACAAAATACATAATCACAATTACAGTCTATGTGCAGCAAATTTAAATGTTTTAGTTTTTTTATCGCCGTGGAGTTGCTGTACAGGCAATTGCAAATTTCTGGTAAAATCATTATCTTTTCTATTCCACGATTCTTTCGTATCGATTGTCATAGACTGATGAATATTGGTTTTGGGTTTAGGGGAAGGAATCCAGTTTTTGGTTTGTATGTTTTTCGAACATTTCTGACGGTCGCCTTCACATTTCAAATCGTCATAAACCTTTTTAAAACATCTTTTTTCATAAACTTCATTGTTTGTAAGTAGTCCCATTTGATATTTGTGTGAATTTTTATTAATTATTTTATTATTTACTTCATGTTTCTGATTGAAATAAATTGACTCGTTATTTACAATAGGTTCTTCTATGGGGTTGATTAATTCTTGTTCAAGATTTTTTATAATACTATCTAGATTTTCAGCAGGCGTTTCCATACTTCTTTTATTTTTAATGAAAAAGTTATCATATTCCGCTAATTTTGACTCTAAGGATTCTATTTTTTCTTGATCTTTTCTGTTCTGGGCACTTGCTTTACGTGTTTGGTTTTCCATAGTGAATATTATATTTTCTAATTCACATATTTGTGTTTTCTTTCTATCAAGATTGGTAATAAGACTATCTATTTCTACATTTTTCTGAGACACTTGTTGGTTGAGCTGGAAAGGGTAAACGCAGATTAATGCTTTTACATCCAAAATAATATAAGCCATACAGCTCCACCGAGAAAGGTCAACTTAGTGTTTAATTTGATTAAAGTTGATGCTACTTATAAAATACTTCATTAAATGAAACATTTAATTTAATTAACGTCGCTCACAGGTACTGAAAACAGTAAGAAAATAAAAACATTTCGTGAAACTGTTATTGCCTTGTTATCAAAAGTTACCAAATTTCCCCCAATGACTTTTACCTTTATTTTAATTGAAATGAGATTCACAACTGGTAAAGAGAATCGTTTGTTATTGGTTACCTGAACGATGTGTTTGAATCTATGTTTTTAATGTAAAATGTTTTAGTGATTTTTAGTTAAACTATATAACTTTAATCATAGTTTTGTTTAAAGATACGTTTATAAAATAGTGCAAGCCAAGACTCACATCATCTTCTGCTTGTGTTCTCATCTCTAGATTGTTTCTAAGTAACTTTATAATATTGGTATGCTCCTCTTCCTTTTGTGATAGCATTTTAACAATATCGTCTCGTTGTTCTATAATACGTTCTTGCTGCGAGATGGTTTCTAAATAATGTTCTATATCTTTGTCCTTCTTCTGCAATACTTCTGCTAATTCTCCATTTTGCCTATTAGCTTCGATTAAGTTAGCACGTTGCTTAGTAACCTGAAACAAGGTTAATTTTTTTTAGTTAGAAATATCTATCTTCTCTAGTATAGTCATGAAAAAGGCATATTAGTGCTAAAACACAGTAATACCATTTCATGTAGTTCATTAAGACTTTCGAATTCACCAAAATCTTTTTGTAATTGACCTAATAGATTCTTGAGTGACGATAACTGTTCTTCATAAAAATTCATTTTGCTTTCACTGGTGAAAAAATAGCAGATTAGATTAGAACGCCCAAAAATAGTATAAAGTTTGAATTTAACAGTCGTGATTCTTCTTGACCGGGTCAGGTTTCTATTATTTCTAAATTACTTCACCTGTCTTGGCGTTGTTGTTCTAACAAATCAACTTTCTTCTCTAGTTCTTCTATATATTCCTCCTTAATTTTTAAGTCTCTTTTCAAATCCTCTTCCAACGTCACCGATTCTTTCAAATTGCGCTAAAACAATTCATACGCAAACCAAATATGCAATTAAATAATTGATTTAAGAAATAAATAGTGATTTTATTACCTCTATTTCCTTTATGGCTTCACTCTGCTCTAAAAATCTGCCGCGATATTTTTCTATCTCTGTATTTGCAATGTCCAGTTGTTGCTTTGTTATTTCAAATTCTTGTTGACATTTAAGAGCATTACCTTTAAAATTATCAACAGTAAAATTTAAAAGATATTATTTCATTTTACAATAAAGTCAATGACATAAAATGTTTAACGGATTGAAAATGCTCACGTTAGTAAAGTTTTCGTACCTCCTTTTTACTGATGTTTCAGAATTTCGTTATTGTACATATCGGTGGTACGAAATCCTTTAATATAGAACTTAAATTTCGATGAAGTAACAATAATAGTTAATAAAAAGTAGAAAAAATTGACGATATATTACAGTTTGTCTATAAAGTCGTGACATGAATGTTTGAGGAACTAACATTATTCATGTGTCTGGCAACACACAAACTTTTGTACATCAGCTGTCATCGAGTTTCAGTTGTGGAACAGTTTTCCTTTTGTATTTTTTATTGTTTGGATTAAACTGTAATAAATTAAGACGAAACTACGCAGAAAGGTATAAAAATGAGTAAAGTAAATCGGAGTGGCACGCGGGAAGTGATTTTTAAAGTTTTCCAGTGATGTTTCGAAGACTACCAAGCTGGACGAATTTTGTAGGATAACAGCATCTATGACGGGTATGTAATCGTGTAACTATTTCTTTGTAATCTGCCTGAAGTTACAAATTTACTCAATTTACGATTTTGAGACCAAAAAAGGCATTGTTTACATTGCACATTTTTAGGTTAGATTGACATTGTAAATAGGTAATATTGTAGTACGACCATTTCTTTTGATACGTTATTATGGTTCAACTCGGTTAGGTTTTCTACCAATTTTGAATTAATTGCTTCATGTCAATAAGTTATTGTTTCTATTCCGTTACATATTTTTTTACTTTTTTTCAGGTAAATCAGAGAGTCGGATAGTCAACGAAGGTTTTAAGAATGATGGAAAGTTTGAAACTCCTGGGAAAACAGGCAAGGCCGACCAAAGAAAGAAATGGTCACATAAAGAACCATGGCCAGATGCTTTTAGTGAAGATACCTATCACTAATTTTACTAACTGCACATTTACAAATTGTTTCTCTAAATAAACTTTTTATATACTATAAAATGACTTTTAGTATTATTTTCTTAACAAGTGTGTTAAAAAACGTCGTATGATGATACTTGTGTGGCACCTCAGCGGTAATCACCAACATTACACACTTTTACACTATAAAGTACTATTATATCTATAATAATTTTATTCTGATTCAATTAAATATGCTTGGCTAACCTTTTTATAAGCATAGGTACCTACTATATATAAAACAGAAACAAAATACGACTGTATAGTGTGTCTTATTAATTACCTATTTTACTTGAATGAACTGCTAGTATCAAAATCATTTTGGTCCGACTGTATAGGGTTGCTACATGCATACTAGTGGCGCCATCATTTAATGTCACGACTTTATAGACAAACTGTACTTAAACGATATGACGCACATTTATTAAAGGATTTTCTTTTCCGAACTAGTAACTTACTCAGCTGCAGCTCCTTTTCATGGACTTGCTTACACATATCCTTGAACCGCAATTCAGACTCGAGCAATTGTGCACAAAGAGATTCCACTTTATTGACCAATTTGACCCGTTCTTCTTTTTCCTGTTCATATTTCATCTCTGATTCTATTATTTTTTCCACTTTTGTATTTATTTCCTCTTTCATATTATTAACCGATTCATCATAATATGAAGACAGGTCGATAAGACGCCTTTCCAAGTCCTCTTTCCTAAATTAAAATGTAATCAGAATAATCAGAATAATGTGCATCATATGCACGGAATAAGCACCATAGAGATGTGAATGATTTTCATGTATTATCATTACCATTTAATCATTTAGTTTTTACTTACCATGCCATGCACATTGATACGTACGCTGTATATTATGTAAGTTAGTATTAAATGTCAATATTGCAAAATATTTTGATTTAATTAGAATTATCCCCTAACAAGGAAATCATTTTCTAATTCCTATAGGCCAAAACCATATAATATGTGGTTTTGGCGCTTCAACAGTCGCTGCAACCGAGTTACAGTTCTATCGTGGTAATATTATATTAGGTTATCTAAATACAAACATTTTACGTCTATCATAATTTGTTCGATACAACAATCTAAAAAAACCTTTTTTTAACAAAAATATAAACAGTCTTTTTTTGGTTTTTATTTATTTAGAAGCTTTCATTCTACAAATATGCCGGCCTTATCGTACCCTTACCAAAATTTATACAAAACTATTTTAATTTAAAACATTCGAGAGGGCGAGCCTAGCATTTTAAGTTTTGACGGTCCGTCCCTAGCAAAAAATTAATGTTAGGTGTCTTAAGCAAAACGTTATCTTTTCCTGTGTTAAAACAAAAGCGTTTGGTCTCTAGTGTGCCACAAAGGAACAAACATACATATATAGACTGTTAAACACTATACCCTGTCTGCGCGTCGCGCTTCGCGCTCTTGCATTGCGCAGTCGGGTAAAAATATTGCTCAACCATGAACATATTTTTTTCTGTTTGAGTAGGCATAGATAGATGTGTCCTGAAGTTTATTATTTCTTAATTTGGCAATTTCGCAGGTAAAGGTTATTTATCACAAATTTTCAAATTTTATTATTTTTTTTTTTTCTTCAACAAATGAATATGGAACCATATCACTAACAAACTCTTAATCTCTCTTGAACAAAATCTCAAAATAAAAAAGAATCGTTAAATCGGTTCACAAACCTCGGAGATATCCGCGAACAACAAAAAAAGAAAAATATAATGAGGAAATGAAAACAACCTCCTCCTTTTGGAAGTTGGTTAAAAATGTTAAAAAAATAATAACTTACTCCGTTTGTAATTTTTCTCGAGCTTTGGCAATTTCTTCCAAATGAGCTGTGTTTTGTGTAATTAATTCTGTAAACTTATTAAACTCAGAGCTATACTCATCTTGCAGTTTTTGATTCTATAAAAAAAATAACATTTGGGAAATCTAAGATGCGACACGATAAGCGACAAATAAATAAATATAATAATGATTCAACCGGTACATTGATAAATTAAATCACATAACCCTCCCGTCCACCCCACTACTGGCTTAACACATTAAAAGTCAGTATCCTAAACGGTTATTATAAGTAAGAGGCGAGACTTGGTTCCACTCAACTTTATTTGGAGCTCTGTCCTTACAATCTTGAAGAATTTACTTAGCTCATGACTTATCGCGAGTATGAACACAGCTGAACTGACTGCTTGTCCAGGGATCTGGATCATTTATGCAAAGAATTGGTTAACAAAAACTCTCCTACACATTTCAGGGAAATGGCACAAACAATTATCTTAATAGTTAAGGAATAGGAATAGAAGGTTTACAATAGGTTATATTACGGCTTACAAATTTAATTAACATTATCTTAATGGCTAAGGATGATTACTTAACCTAAACAACATTACAATACAATGTAAAAGGAGGGTAATAAAATATTAAGGCTATATAATACAAATGGGTTTCTGCAAATATTTACAATAGTGCAGATGGCTGACCCAGAGAATCACTGTGGAATGGCGAAAATATTTGAGTTACGGTGTGATAACATAACAGGGTATACGAGTTGTTTGCTCCGTAGTGTATCTACTCTCATGAGTAAAATATTTCTGTTGCGTGATGAGCTTTATTAAATAGGCAGTTTGCTGATTATATCGAATACCATAAAAAAAAAGACAAATACCTTTTCTTGTAGATCCAACACAGTCCTCTCTAGAGCCCAGCCCTTGGATTGCGATTGCTCAAGCGCCGCCTCCATATGAGATATTTGTACCTCATTATTTTTTGCCTGGCATGTCGCACGGTTTAATTGATTTTTGATAATATTATTTTTGCACTTCTCCTCTTTCAAAAGCTTTTCTAATTCCTGAAACAGGTTTTTCTAGTATTTATTTGTTTTCTGTAATGCGTGCCTCCTGCGTGTTTTGCGATGCAGTAAGCAGGAGAGGTAACTACTTGTAAAATTAGTTTTTTGAAGTGAAAACTTCTTTAGCACCTATGTGATTTGAGATTCGATGAAACGGATCGATATCGGTATCTGTAATTTTATCATTTACCATAAGAGACGGATAACCGAACGGTTACCGTCTTGGGGTCGACACTCGACACCAACTAGTCGGTTCGATCCTGACCTCGGTAATTGTTTTTAATTTTTTTTTTCTTCTGTTATTTATTTTTGAAACAATTTAAGTATAGAATATGTAAAGAAGATTGCTCAGCTTCCATACATGTTTGGCCTAAAGACCAATAATCATGAAAAATTGTTTCCCAGATTCGAAATTATATATAAATTACTGTAGAAACGAACATTATTGACGGACATCCCTGGGAACTCTTATAAACCATATACACTGAATGATTTTGAGGTTGTTTGCAAATCGGTACATAGGTATTTAAATAATAAAAAACAAATAAGTAACGAAATTATGTATTTGAAATGAAATTATATAGATTCAGGTATATAAAGCATGTAGATTAACAGATAGGTGCCTGTTTTTAAAGTTAATGTATAAGAGTAACTTTTAAAATCAGGTATCATCTATGCATTTCCGGTTGGTAATCTGTGACAGAAAATGTGTGTTTATTCTATTTGTGAATGAGCCACAGATTAGAGGGAATTTTTAAACTCTCGTTAACTAAAGAAAGCTTATTACTTTTGTTATGTTTATATTATAACCATATTTTAGATTTTTAGTGTATCACACCTTATAATGTGTTTATGGAGGTGTTTGGCGAAAAATGTATGGCAATAGACTTTATGATGTCGCCTTCCATCTATAATATTTGTCTTAGCACATTTGCATGTAGTAAAAATGATAATATAGTTGTGGATATTAATACCACAGTGTAATAAAAAAATGGGTGCGTGTACTTATGTAGGCGCGTGAGAAGTTATCCTTCTTTGGCATCGTTTAAAATTAGTTTTTAATTGCATGCAAATAATTAATTACAATAAATTAATAAAAAGTCTGGAAAAGGACACAGTCAATAAAGTTCAGTTTTAATTTGAAAAAATAAATAAATAATCAAAATATTCAATTAAAATCGCTACTGAATATAATTTATTAGAACATATGTGATTTGCACTTGTATGAAACGCAAACACGTATTCCGAATATACAAACTAGAAACATGTGGATAAATATTATAAATATGAATACTTATAACTGTTACTTTATTACAAAAAATAAAGATGTGGTTTTTGGTTCTACTACATCAATGGTCAAGAGATGGCGCTGTAGTCTCCTGAATCGCGCTTTGGTTCCGTTGTTCCAGATTAATAAATACTTTTGAAATTTTTTAACACTAAATAGAGATTCTATATCTATTTTGTTGGTAGATCTTAATGTGCGGTAAACACAAAAGTAACGCATGAAGTTGGTCGCTAAAGCGACCAACTTCATTATGTTAAAATTTTGTGTTACAGTGATGCGCGCGCATCTTAAAATTTCACTCTCATCATTTTTTCATAACGCGCCTAAAGAAGTATAACTTCAAAAATGTTTTATTTTATCGATCTTTACATAATAGATTTGTTTTGATGTTATATAAACAACTTCGGTCACTCTTTGGCTGAATGTTACTACAACCATTTAATGGCATTAAAAATGATTCGTATGTTTTCCAAACCGGTAAAAATATAAGTCCTTTTGAAAATGAATATATTATTTATACATAGGTGTCCGTTAAAATCTAATGACTGCAAAATAAAGTATAAATGACGCCAAGTGTTACCGTATATGTCAATATTTTTTATACATTTGGGCCAATTTGAGCAATCTCCATTGCCCAGTATTGTACAATACCTGAATAGTTAAGTATTAAACGTTTGGCCTTAGTTGTTTATACATACAGGCTTGGTTTTTATCAAGTAGTATTCCAGTGTTTGCTATTTTTTTACAGTAATTTTTCATAAATAAATATTTCAAAAAAAAACCTAAGATAAGGTAGATATATCACACACTTTAAGATTAAATAATGGGAAAAGAGTGTTTTCTACTAAATTGGGGTCATATCGCTTGAAACGTCCACGACGACACCGTTCATTGCTGAGCGCGTACTTCAAACTGATCTAAAAAACCTCAAAGTTCAGAGAGCACTGCATTTTATTTACAACGACATCTCCATATTTTGCCTAAACTAAAGAAACCACAAGCAGCAATATGGATGCTTTCCAAAGCGTGCTAATGAGCAAAAACAAGACCGCCCACAGAAGACACTCAAGTGTCCTCGGACGTTTGACTAGAAAACTTTTGACACTCAAGTGCCATGGGACGTTTGGGAGGATACAAAGCTTTGGGCATCAAAACAACCGTGGTGTTTAGTATATGTGTACGTATTATACTTTTGTAGAGGTTTTTTTATCATTTTTATATCTGTCGCAAGAGCAAGGCAGAGTATGTACCGTTTTCAATCCCCGGTCGGGTCAACTTATAAAATTAACTTTTTTTATTTTCTCTGGTCTAGCTGGTTATTTAATAGTAATTTGCTAATTACCATAACGTTAAGCGGCTGACTTTCGGCCCCTGTCAAAAATCGCCGATGCGTTAAACGGCCAAAAGTCGGCCGCGCGCGACCCCACTAATTCTATGGAAAATATAACATTCATTATTTTTGCTAATACTTACATTCTTATATCAATTTGTAGAGGAAAGAACAGACTAGAATAAAACACCATGCCTGGGTAAGTTAAATACATTTAGTTACTCTATTTTGATGTTTCGTTCGGGGGTTTCGGTGAAATATTTTTTTTTAGAATTATTTTGCTCACGACCTCGTAAGAAAATCATCAAAAAAAAAGGGTTCGTGGCTTATATTTTCATTGTGATAATTTCGATAATAATTGTAATGTTTTAAGTTATAATTATTAAATAAATTATTCATGATTAATATTTCGAATACCGCCGACCATCCCGCGGTGTGAGAGCTCTATGCCGGAGATCCGGTTCACACAAAGCTTAGTGCGTAAAGCACTCTTTTCCCTTGTCATCCACAAGTCGAGCGGGCCTGATGGAATCTCACTAATTGTGCTGAAGACGTGTGCTCCTGAGTTGGCTGCGGTACTAACGCGTCTTTTCCGGATCTCCTACTTTTTAGGTGTCGTTCCGAACTCATGAAAGACAGCTTTAGTGCACCCGATTCCTAAAAAAAGCGACTGCTCACTCCCTACTAATTATAGGCCTATAGCCATCACCTTGTTCTCTGAGATAATGGAGTCCATTATAAATTGTCAGCTCCTGCGGTACCTAGAGGACCACCAGCTGCTGATCAGTGACCACCAGTACGGTTTCCGTCAGAGTCGCTCGGCTGGTGATCTACTAGTATCATCGTTGGGCAAAGGCGATCGAGACCAAGGGGGAAGCATTGGCGGTCGGTCTGGATATCGCGAAGGCCTTCGATCGGGTTTGGCACAAAGCGCTTCTTTCGAAGCTTCCTTCTTATGGGCTTCCTGAAAAGCTGTGCGTTTGGATCACTAGCTTTCTTGCAGACAGGAGCATCAAGGTCGCAGTCTACGGTGCATGCTCGGACTCCAAATCCGTAAACGCTGGTGTTCCGCAAGGCTGTGTGCTATCGCCTACGCTGTTTCTTCATCATATCAATGATATGCTTCAAATTGATGGCATTCATTGTTATGCAGACAACAGCACGGGTGATGCCCTATATACCGGCCGCGCCAACATTTCACGGGAAAACGTCATCGAGTGCCGGAACAAACTTGTATCTGAAGTCGAAACTTTGTTAAACCAAGTAACGAATTGGGGCTGACTTAATCTAGCCCAATTTAACCCTACGAAGACACAAGTATGCGCGTTCACCGCAAAAAAAAACCCTTTTGTCGTATCTCCTCTTTTTGAGAACACTCCTCTAACTGTCTCAGCTAGTATTGGAATTCTTGGCGTTGGCATATCGAGCGACGTCCAGTTTCGGGATCATTTAGAGGGCAAGGCCAAATTGGCCTCTAAGAAGCTTGGTGTGCTCAATAGATGAAGAATGTACTTCACACCGGCCCACCGACTGCAACTTTATAAGGCACAGGTTAGGCCTCACATGGAGTACTGCTCTCATCTTTGGGTGGGGTCACCCTAGTATCAGCTTCTCCCTTTAGATCGCATCCAGCGCCGAGCGGCTCGAATCGTCGACGACCAGGACCTTTCCGATCAGCTTGATCCTTTGGCTTTGCGTAGAGATGTAGCTTTGCTCTGCATCTTCTATCGCATTTATCACGGAGAGTGTTCTGAGGAATTGTTCGGATTAATTCCAGCTGCTGCATTTCGCCATCGTACATCGCGACAAAAATTTCGTCCCCATCATCTTGATGCGTGGCTATCCACAACCGTGCGTTTTTGTAGAAATTTTTTACCATGTACGACAAAACTGTGGAATATATTGTTGCCAGCAGTGTTTCCGGACCAATACGACCCAAAAACCTTCAAAAAAAGAGCGTACTCCTTCCTTAAAGGCCGGCATCGCGTTTGTGATACTCCTGGTGTTGCAAGTGTCCATGGGCGACGGTGATCACTTACCATCAGGTAAGCCGTCTGCTCGTATGACCCCTATAACATAAAAAAAAGAATACGGAGAATCTCTTGAGTTAGTATTTTTGAAGATATAAAAAAAAGCAAAATACGAGTAGTTTAACGGTCGTTTTAAATTCAAATACACGAACGAAATAATTTTTCATATAATTTTCTTGTATGCGAACTAGTGATTAGTTTTTGTTTATTCTAAAGCTTTCATGTACATTTAGATAAAAGAAACTGTTTCTCAAAATTGTAAATACTATATACTATACAAAAAATTGAGATGACTGATTTATAGGCGATTTTCAAATACCTTGTTGCGAGTTCTTGAAACTATAAAATGAAT